AACTGATGGCAGCCCTATGTATGTCAGGGTAGAACTTTGTTCCCCAGGATTTTCAGTGGCTGAATTTTCTGAAGTAGATACCAGTCCTATGTTCCAGGGTATGTCTGGATGAACTGAAACCTCCAACATTTTGGTTAGTATTCAAGTGCATTATACAAGGACTCCAGCAATAACACAGTCACACATTATTTAATCTGTCAATATAAACTATATTTGGAGACTATAAAATCTAACTTTACAAATAATTATTACATAATAATAAAACTTTAATGATTTTATTCCATCTAAATATGCCAACCAATTAGAAGAGATACCTATTTGTACCCATTCCAAAATGTAGAAATCACTGAATGATATTATCATATGTAAGCAAAATGTTGCTGAAGATAATTTAAAAATGGTTGCAATAGTACATTGAAACAGAACTGCCAGAAATTCAAGCCGGATTCAGGGAGGATGTGGAACTAGAAATATCACGACTGACGTCAATAAGAACAGAATACCAGAAAGATGTTTACTTGTGCTTTATTGACTATGCTTTATTGACTAAAGACTTCCAACGGTGTTGATCATGACTAACTATGAATAACACTGCAAAGAATGGGTATCCCAAAACATATAATTTTGCTCATAAAAAACCTGTAAATAGACCAAGAGGCAGCTGTTGGAACAGATTAAGGGGATACTAAATGATTTAAAATCAGGAAAGGTGTGTGCCAGAGTTGTATTATTTCACCATACTTATTCAAATTGTATGCTGAGCAAATAACATGAAAAAATAGATTATATGAAGAAGCACATGGCATAAGGATCGGAGGAAGACTCATTAACCACCTGCAATATGCAGATGATATGACTTTGCTTGCTGAAAGTCACGAGAATTTAAGATGCTTACTGATGAAGGTCAAAGATGACAGCTTTCAGTATGGATTGCATCTAAATTAAAGAAAACAAAAATCCTCACAACTGGATCAATAAATGACATCATGATAAATGGAAAAAAGACTTCATTTTACTTGGATCCACAATCAACAGTTATGAAAGGTGCATTAGTCAAATCTGCCACACAAGACCTCTCTAAAGTGTTAAAGACCAAAGTTGTGAGCTTAAGGACTAAAGTGTGTCTTTAGAGCCAAGCTATGGTAATTTCAGTCATCATTTATACATGTGAAATCTATAATGAATAAGGAAGACTGTAGAAGAATCAATGCATTTAAATTATGGTGTTGGGTACAAATTTTAAAAGTACCATGGACTGCCAGAAGAATAAACAAATCTGTTTTGGGAGAAGTACAGCCAGAATGTTCCTTAGAAGTCAGGCTGGTGAGACTTCGTGTCTCAGACTTTGAATATGTTATTGGGATGGACCTATCCTGGAGAATGACATCATGCTTGGTAAAGTGGTGAGTCAGCCAAAAGAGGAAGAAACCCCAACAAGATGTACTGATACAGTAGCAGCAGCAATGGGCTCAAATGTAGCAATCATTTGTTAGGATGGTGAAGGACTGGGCAGTGTTTCGTTCTGTTACACATAAGGGTGGGTCACTATGAGTTGGATCAGAGTCAATAGCATCTAACAACAATGTCAGTAAATTGTGAATAAATCCTGCCAATAATTTAGCATAATAGTTTTTAAATTAAACTCTACAGACGATGAACTGAAAGTAAATTTAGAAATAGCAGCAGCATTTTTAGAAATAAAAGTCACAAAATAAGTGGTCCTATAGTTTTATTTTGCCAGCAAATTGCTGTATTTCAGGTTTCTTCCTGAAACCCCATGTTCCTATCTCTTTAACTCCTCTTGATAAATAACATTCTTGGTTTTTCACTATTTTCCTTTTATAAATTTGTCAAATCATCTGTTTCTTGTCCTATGTAACTTTAAGACTTTTGTGTTGTTCTGAGAGATGATCATATAAGTCTGACCAGGAGAATAATTTATAAGTTTCAAAATGAGAGTCATTCATTATTAAATGCTGTCTCAACTGCAATGAATACATAGATTTGGTCATGCCTGCTAGGATTTTAACTAGCTTAACAGAGGTAAAAGCTTTGAAATGCAATATTATAATGATGTCATTGAAGATATAAACATAATTTGTGATTGTTGCTGTTGTATGCCACTGAGTCAATTCTGACTCTAGTGAACCTGAACCTGAACCTGAAGGAGAGAGCAGAACTGTTCTGTAGGTTTATTAGGCTGAAATATGTACTGAGAGGAGCTCTGGTGGCAATGCGGTTTAAGTGCTGGAAAGCTCACCAATGGTTTGAACCCACCAGACACTATGTGGAGAAAGACGTGGCAGTCTGCTTCCATAAAGATTTATAGTCTTGAAAATCCTATTGTTGTTGTCGTTGTGTCAATTTAGACCCATAGTAACCCTACATAGGGTTACCAAAGAGCAGCTGGTGCATTTGAACTGCCAACTTTTAGATTCAAAGCGACTTTGCAGTACAGAGTATTAACTCATAGCACCGTATCAGGACTCCTTGAAAACCTTTATTTTGTCCTATAGGGTCACTGGTGTGGTACTGTGGATTACTGCGCTAGACTGTAAAGATGGTTTGAACCACAAGTCAGTGGGTCAAGTTCACCAGTCACTCTTTGGAAACCCTATTCAGGGTCACTATGGGTCATAACTGACTCAACGGTACTTGACAATAACAACATAGGGTCACTATGAGTAGACTGGCTCTATAGCATTGGGTTAATCTTTGCATGTGCAAACTGCCAAGTCTTGTATTCCACCGAACCATTGGAGGGTTCCAGCCAGCAACCTTCAAACCACTGACCTTTGGATTAAGAGTAAGCATTTGAACCATTGTATTAATCAAATTTCACTACTTTAATTTATACTTTAAACCATATAATTGATTAATAGAGTGAGAAGACTATAATAAAACATGCTTTTGGATATGCATTTCTCTATAGCTTTCACACATACATTTCTTTGACTGAAAACACAATTTTAGAAGTAATAACTTCGTGTCCATAGGTCAACAGTTAATCTCCAATCACAAATTAGAATAATATGCATAATGAGCATTCTACATTATGAAACTAAATGCTGAGGGATAATAAAGAGAGTGGATTTTCTCAATTTTGAAGAAAGCTTAATTTTTAAGTGTCTGTTCTTTATCAAAGTATTCCTGATTTGATGTTTTTATGTTGCTAGAAGCAGTAAGTACTTTTTGGTTTCCCTTTAGTGCCCAATGTCTTTTTTTTTTTTTAAACTACAAATTACTTCTTCCGATTAATCTCAATAACTGTGCTTTGTATCATGAATCATTCCTTTTCAGTTCAAATGAAATCCTAGCGCCTCCACAATAAAAAGTTGGTTTTTTATTAACACATGAGAAAAAAGGATGCCAAATAAGAATATTAACTTTTAGTAAATGGACAAGTATAATAGAAAACTAAATGTTTCAGTATACTAATCTTTAATTTACATATTTTAAGTTGTACTTAACATCAACAAATAAATCTGTAGCTTCCCCCTTATTCAGAAGTCACCTCTTCTCTCAATTCCCTTATAGCATCAACTGAGCTTCATCCAATATGTATTTATCTTTGTTTTGCTATTGGTGTGTAAGTTTTCTTTCCCATCATAAATCCTGAGACCACTGCATTACTCAAAGCATCCAGTCCTATGGCTGGAATATAAAGGAATAACTTTAACTACCCTCAAGTCAGGAGTTTTGGTGTGATGTTGTAGAGTACTGGACTTCTAACTGAAAGGTCAGTGGTTCAAACCCACCAGCTGCTCCTCAGAAACCCTACACAGGGTCATTATGAGTCAGAACTGACTTGACAGCATTTAACAACAACCATCAAGTCAACCCAGACTCATGGAGACCCCATGCAGGGCAGAATGTGATACTGTCAGATCCTCTACCATCCCCACCATCTGTTGGGGATCAAATCATTCTGTCCATAAGGTTTTCATTGGCTGACTTTTAGAACTAGACCACCAGACCTTTTTTCCTAGTCTTATTCTGGAAGTTCCACTGAAACCTATTCAGCATCTTAGCAACAACATAGCCTTTGCGGACCTCTCAGTGTACGTGAGGTACATTAGCCAGGAATTGAACCCATGTCTTCTGTATGGAAAGCAAGAATTCTACTCTTGATCCATCATTGCTATTAATTAAACTCTATGTGTTGGAAGGGGTTAATATTTTAGTATATTAACTCCTTTAATCTTCACAGCCTGAAAAATGAAATGAATATACTACTATTACATTCACTTCTAGAAGAGGGAACAGAAACTCAAAAAAGTTAAGCAATCTATCCAGAGACACACAGCCTGTATATGGCCAAGCCAGAACCTGAATGTAAACCTGGTTCCAAAGCCTGAACACTTAATTGTATCTGAGACTCGTGTACTTCATTCTCCCTATGATTGATTTTCAAGTGTTTCCTAACATTTACTACAGTTATGAATTTATATTTTTGTGTTTATCTAATTAAGGTATGCCTCCTCCACACTGGCCAGAGCATAGTAACAGAACACCTATTATTTGATAGATATGTAAAATCAGTTAACAACGTGTTAAGTTTTTAGCATATGTTGGGTACTACATTCTATTACTTAATCATCACAAAGACACAATGAAGCACCTATAAATATAGCTCCACTTTAGAGATGAGGAACCTAAGACAAAGGGAAGTTGGGTGACTTCCCCAATGTGGTACAGGTGGTAATATGGTAGATCCAGGTTTTAAACTGAAAGATCACAAATCGAGCTCAGAGAATCAAGAAAGCAATGAAAGGCGTGGCATCTAAGATACGTGGAAGGACAAATGGAAAGAATAGAAACAGCCATCTAGTCAGAGGAAGCAACATGGATAAAGCAATGTTGACCAGTGTGCCTGGAGCCGAAGAAGTGCTCAATGAACATGAATGAATTAATGAGTATCTGTATTGCCAATTAGGTGAAATGTTTGTTATCAATCAATATTTTACTATTAATGATGTACATGATTTTTTATCTTTCAGTACCACCGTGGGCCTTAATTGCCATTGCCATAGTTGCAGTTCTTTTAGTCCTGACCTGCTGCTTTTGTATCTGTAAGAAATGTTTGTTCAAAAAGAAAAACAAGAAGAAGGGAAAGGAAAAGGGAGGGAAGAACGCCATTAACATGAAAGATGTCAAAGACTTAGGGAAGACCATGAAAGATCAGGTACTGTAGTCATTTCATGTTTCTTCTTAAGATTAGTTTGTCAACAGTGAATAAATGTTTTATTGTTTTATGCCAGATACGTATGGAAACAAACAATGTCTAGACACAAGTCATTGTTATATAGATGCTTTGCAATTCTTTGAATCGTTATTCACTAGAATATAACAGTAACATTTGATAGGCTCACCTGAGCACAAAGACCAGAAAGAGATGTGCATGGCCATAGGGTCATCAAGGCTCTGTCCAGCATATGAGAATGGTGTTGAGTACTTTCATTACATCTGTTTAGCCAGTATTTATTGTGTTTAGACACAGAGAACAAGAATAAAGAGATAAAGAATAGCTTGAGGTTCTGCCCTATGAGGAGGCAATTTTCAAACTTTACTGTTTGCAGTTGCTATTACATGACTGAGCCTTCTAGTTCTACATCACACTTGAAAGCAGCAACCATTTCTACAAATCCAATTCAATAACTAGTCTTCGAAAATAATGACTTACACAAGAGATGGGAGAAAAGTGTAAGTTGGCCGTCGTAAGCAGGATAGAATTTTGAAGTAAAGTTCTTATCTCCAAGCTTAGAGACAATCTAGAGCCCTGCTTATAAAAATCAGTCTGGCTAAGTTATCTTGCAAACTTTAAAAAGGTATTTGGTTGCCCTCCAAAAATGTGAATTTTTACTGAATTAATTGGATGATTTGATTCAGGATATGTTTACTTTTAATAATGATAATGATTAAATTCCTCTTTAATTAATTTAAAAATAATATTCATATTAGATATGTCTAGGAAATATCTAATTCATATGAAATAAAATGTTAATATGTATTTATATAAAAATTTAACTTTCAATTCGCAAGAGTTCCCACCATGTAATTCAAAATGTGTTTATTCCCAAATAGCAACATACACAGGAAGTTTTAAATTCTTCATGTAATACTAATTACTAATAATTGAATTCTGAAATATGTGAATCTGCCTACATAATTTTATGAACTTAATGTGTTGTCACTAGTGTTTTTCGTACTTTTGCATAGTTACCTAGTTACTATACATTCATAACACTAATTCCTTCATCTCAAATTTAATTTTAAACAATTTTTTCAAAGATACTGTAAGATATATTGACAACAGTTCTGCAAAGGCTTAGTTTTCCTTCCCTACCCTTTCATTTCAAAGCTTTGGAGTAAGTCTCTAGAGGGACTTATCCTGAGTCAGGGTAAAAAGGTTAAATTTACATTTAAATTTAACAGGGTTAAATTTTTCTGACAGTTCCTAATCACAGCCATAGTAGTCCATGCACAAAATTCAACCACAGATATCTAATAAGGATTTTTCTCTTCAGTTAATTCGTTAAGTAGTAACTGAAATTTTAAATCAAGTCTTACTTTATTCCAGCATTTTCCATAGCCAGCAAGACTTGATACAGATTTAAGTAACTTATTGAGAGATAAAATATAAAAGTAATCTCCTATGTGAACAGAATTATAGATATGTTCATTTCATATCTATAAGAGCAAAAATTTAAAAATATAATACTATCATTTTTATGACTACAGTGAAATTCAAATGTGGTTTCCATGTGGCCTAGGAATAAGAGTTAAACAGCTGAATTGTTAGATGATAACTCTAGTATTTATCATAGGACAAGACATTTCAGTATCTATATTTATTCCATATAGCATATAACTGTAATTTTTAACACTGCAGTGGTGTTTATTACCCCTGTTATGACCTAGGTAAATGACCAAGATCTAAAGAGTAATAAATACTTGGAGTAGATGGTGGCTAATTCTTTACTCTCACCCATTCCTATAGATGGGGAAAAGTTATTCAAATAAAAAAATGCAGCACAATTGACAATAACTGACTGTTATACAAAAGATTTAGGATTTCAATTACTCAAAAATTTTAAGTAGATTACTTGGTTTATATAAAGTTTAGTTAGGTCTTATAAGTTATAACAATTAAATATACCTAATGGAATACAATTTGGGAAAATTTTAAAAGTCCCTACTGATAAACATTTATATAACAGCAATTTATGAAACTTTTTAGGGCAAATAAAATGCTAAAAATTGGTCCCATCATTTTTGAAGAGTCAAAAGCGAATGTGCAGATTTTAAGACTTTATGTCACACAATCCAAATTCAGAACAGTATAAACATGAGGTCAAATTTTTCTTGCATATATTTTTAAACCATGTTAAGTCATATATTGCTGTGAATGTGGAAAATACGATATAGATAATTCTATGCCGATCTCATTTTCAAAAAGAACAAAGGTGAGCAACAGGTATGTTTAAAATAGACTGTAGGGCAATCAATAAATTACCATGTCAAGTCTAGAAGAATTCACAGAAATTCAAATTTCAATGTCATGTACATATGTCTACATGATAAGATTTTATAAACAAAGAAGAATTTTAAACTATTCTACAGTGTCACTAATAGTAGCTATAAATAGTATGTATCTGTATCTATAGCTAGGATATTTATTTGTATCAAATTTTTTGCCTTATACTTTAAGAATGGAAAAGGTACAGAGGGGAAAAATATCAGTTTGTTGAGTCTTAGCTCTGGAAAGGTCATTTCTCCATGTTTTTCATGAATGTCTGTGGATATTTTAATTTTTATTTCTTCCTTCTATGTCCTCCTTATCTGTGTTGTGTCTCATGACTGTTCGGGACTGTCCCTTGCGGTAGGTTTCCTCTGCTACTTAGATGCCCCTAGTCAGCGCTCAGCTACATTTAGTGGCCTGGCAGCTGGGACTGCACAGCGGAGGGTGGATCATTCTGACACACATCAAGAGGCTGAACTAAATTGATATTTTTATGATCAAGTGTTCTCATTTTAAACATTCCCAGTATACATTAAATAATGAAGTAAGAGAAAGCTCAAGTTTTAAATTGATGGACAAAGAAAGGTTACTCAGTCTCCATGTTCTCTTTTAGCATGCTTTATCAGGAGTCCTGGTGTGGCACTGTGGGTTAATGCGCCAGACTGCAAAGCCATTTGAACTGCAAGGTCAGCAGTTCAAGCTCACCAGCTGCTCCTCAGAAATGCTATACAGGGTCACTATGGGTCAGAATCAACTTGACAGCATTTAGCAACAATAACATCAAGTACAAATCTAAACCTGAACAATGGAACTTAGAGTGAACAAATGCTCCTTCTGATGACTCTGAACACTGTTTGACTATCTAAGCAGGTTATAGGCATGTGCACTAAAAATCTTTGAAACTTAAAATAAGGTTTGATGTTCCCAACACAGCTGTTTCTACTGCAATTTATCAAACTCTCAGAACTACTGGATTTACAAGTTCTTTCTTCCATATTTTGTTCCATGGGGAGAAAAATATTGCTGTCGAGAAATTATAATAGCTACTGATTTAATGGGTCTGAATTTAATGTGATGGTACAGAAAATGTCTTGCTTAAGCTCAGCCTTTGGGACAAGAATAGACCTAATCACTCAGTGATGAACAGCAGCACTGAGAAATTATCAAAAATTTAGCCCTACTTCATGCAGAATAATTGCAGAGATGGTCCTGCACCTTTTATTAGGGCCAAAACCACTTAGGGAGAAGATGATTTAATATCTCAGCTATTTCAAATTGTACTAGGCTGAAATGTGATATGTAAATTGTCAGTTCTGAAAGAGACATGAAAAAGTATTTAATCCATGAGGGTTTTTTTTTATTATGATGATGATAGAGTGAGATACAGATTTTTCAGATGGAAATGTGCATTGAACAGTTTGCTATTACTGAGAAAATCCGTATCTTACTGTGAGGTAATTTACCTAAGCTGCAATTTTCTAAGCCAGTATTAAAGAGTTATGCATAGTTAATGAGCTCTAGTGGCCCAGTGGTTAAAACACTAACCAAACGGTTGGTGTCTTGAACCTGCCAGCCCTTCCAAGGGAGAAAGATATGTCAGTCTGCTTCTGTGAAGATTTACAGCGTCAGAGAGCCTATTGTGCAGTTTTACGTTGTATTATAGGGTCATTATGAGTTGGAATTGATTCAATGACAATGAGTTTGGGGTTTTTGAGTAAGGTTAGATAGGGGCAATGCTTTCTATTTAAATTCAGTAATCTTTTCTTTTCACTTTACTAGCTCATATTCCCTTTAGTGACCATCTCTCTCCCACTAAGTAAATTTAAATAATTAATACAAACGTTTTATAAAAAGTATATTGCTTCCTGCCTCTATCAAAAACTCAGTATTTTAACATTCACATAATTAATCATCCAAATATAAATTAAACTCTAAGTGGTATGTGGCTTATCAAATTGAGAAGGTTTCCTTCACAGATACAATAATGACCATTTTCAATCTTCCAAACACATAGTGGAGTCCTGGGGTGGTGCTATAGATTAGCACTCAACTGCAAGGTCAGTTTGAGCTGCAAGGTTGGTGGTTCAAACCCACCAGTCACTCCTCGGAAATCCTATACAGGGTCGCTAAGAGTCAGAACCAATTCGATGACACTTAACAACAACAAAACACATAGTAGCCTCCGGAAAAATTTCATGAAGCACATAAGAGGTGGCACCTCGGATGATAGCTCAACTCATACTCTAAATAATTTTCACGTGAATGCATCTGTGTCTTTGGATCCAACTGGAGTTGTTGTTATTAAGTTGTGTAGAGTGGGTTCTGACTCACTGCGGCCCTGTATAGGGATTATGAGGAGAGGCTGCTGTGTTTGAACTGCCAACCTTGGAATTAGCAGTTCAGTGATTTAGTTAGCTAATCCAAAGACCCATAGCTGTGGAGTTAACTCTTGACTGATAGCAACTGTATGGGACACAGTAAAGCTGTTCCAAGACTATAGATCTTTAAAGCCCTGTCTTTCTCCTGAGGGACCACTGGTGAGTTTGAATTGCTGAACTTGGAGTTAGCAATCCAATGCTAAACTCACTGCACCATTAATCAGTGAGGTATCGGAAGGTCCTACAAAAAAACAAGAACTGAGAGTACCATTTGTAGGAACCTAATAGGGTCCCTGTGTAAGCAAATGAGTGAAGAGAAAAGCTTTGTCCTTAGAATGAAGAGCACAGCAGAAGAAAAGACTGTGTAGGATCCGTGATGTATGGGAGTGGGGAATCTGATGTTGCCTTTCTGCTTATACTTGCATTTGATTTTACAAGAGTCTTTAATTCAATTTGAGAGCTGACAACAGTTAAGATTGCATTTACTTTGTCAAAGACATAAAACTCAGATCCAACTTCCCACCCATCACCACCCCAATGCCATAATCGAATACTAAGAGAAAGGTAAACTATGTAATCTTCTGGCAAGAGTCTTGTATTTATAAAAAAAAATGCATTACATATTTACTTTTTCATTTTTAAAAAGAGGGGTACTTAAATGTATTTTCTGAAATAATGAGCTTTCTAGTATTTCCATCTTTGTTACACTTAAGTTTTAAATTATAAAGAATATTCAATGGAATATTTCAGTGGAGAACAATACCACAACATTTGTTCCTTAAAACAAAATTGAATCTTTTTTTCCTATTTGAATTTTTGACAAGATTTCAAACTCTACATTTGATATCAAACAGATCTTTACATCAATTTAATTCAGCCTAGCTTATTGTGGAGCTGTTATGAAAATAAAACGGTAAACTTAAACTGAAAACGGGACAAACATTTCTTTAAATATGCATTTGCTGATGGCATGTTTTTTTCCCTCTTTGTTTCCATAACCATATGAATGTATCTGTGAAACTGAGGGAATTAAAATTTTCTGACAATTAATTATCCAACTTTTTCCTACAAAAGAAACAAAGGGTGATGCACTCTATATAAACTACTCCACTGCATGTAACAATAAGATTTTAGTTTATGACTAGCATCTCTATAAACTAGTAAATGAATGTGAGATCTGGTCGGTTAATAGCATGTTTATCACATTTTAGTGTGAAAGAAGTTGTATTAGACCCAAGTTTAGTATCAAGCTGACATTTTCTTTGCAACACTGTTACATTTTGCTTGCAATATTCTGAGGGGCTTCTTCCATTGCTTCCATGTTGCTTGCTGATTGGGGGAGAAATTCCATATACAAATGGAATTTTAAAAATATGTAAGCAGCAAATGTGAATGTGTGTCAGACAAACTGAGAGTTCTAGCATTTTAGCGCTTGCTTTGAACAGCTAGGAAGTGTAACTACAGACCCAGTTTAATCTGGGTTTTTAGGAAAGTTCATTTGAATTCACATACGGTCCATTTTCCCTACTCATAGGCTCTTAAGGACGATGATGCCGAAACTGGATTGACTGATGGGGAAGAAAAAGAAGAACCCAAAGAAGAGGAGAAACTGGGAAAACTTCAATATTCACTGGATTATGATTTCCAGAATAACCAGGTCTGAGGCAGAAAAATGTCTTCTAATTCCATTACATTTCTAAAATTACCAAGAAGAAATTGAAGCAAGATACTTCTTAAAACATTTCATTTGCTGTGAGAGGAAAATGCAATTATCAAAGCTATTGATGAAATAATTTCTAAGTACAGGCAGTCCCCTACTTGCTAATTTAACTTCTGGTAATTAGAATTCACAGTATTCAGCCGATTACATCTACTTATGGCACTTACAGCAGGCAGGCTGCTTGTAGAGGTTCCCAAGCTGAGTCTCGCCTCCACAGCATCTCTGAAGCCTGAGCTAGAACAACGTATCTTAGAGTTCATGGACTTATATCCTAAGAGGGCTGTGGATATTTACATTGAGCTACCATTCAAGCCAAAGTTTTGTAAAAGCAGATTGATAAGGAATCAAAGGATAAAAATGTAACTATGATCTATGAATCTTAAAGACAGGAATGCCTTCTATTTCACGATACTAGGTAAAACATCAAACACTAAGGACATAGCAATTCTAGGAAAGCAGAAAGACCAGCAACTAGATTTCTAGTGCCTGTGACTGCTGCCCAAAAAGGGGCAAGGAATTAAAAGGTAACAAACCAAGCATCCCTGCTTTAATGTTTCAAAAAGTTATGAAATGTCACCTAGATCTTTTATCCAGTAACTCAAAGATAACTTAAAATGCTTTCGAAGTAAAAAGATCCATGACATTGAAAGACATGCTCTTTTATCTTGTGAATTGCTAAAGAAATTTAAAAGCTAATATGTAAGAATGTGTGGTCAGCTATATTAGAGATCAGCTCCCATAACCATCCTTGGGACACAGGGGATACTAGGAGAGTTTTCAGTCTCTCCTCCAGTTTGGCTTATACTTTACTTACCTTTGTGGACAATGACAAACTGAACAATGCAGAGTAAATATAGCTACCACTTATACAGAATGAGTTCATTATGTCCAGTTTTATCAGGAATAATCAATAAGTGAATCAAACACCAATGCTCAGCTCTGACCACTATTGTCCAACTCAGTATTACTGCAAGAGATCTAATCAGCTGCAGAATTCTGAGTTTTATTTGGGCATTGACAATTCAAATAATTTCTTCACTGTCTAAAGTTTCCAGAGCTTTCCTAATAGAGGAAGTATATATATATATATATATAAATCTTAGCCCTGGGTTTTTATTTCATATTATGCTTTATATTGGTTTGTAGGTACAGGTTTATAGGTATGTAGTTATATAGGAATTTTCTGGGAATATCATTAATTAAATATGGCATTTGAAGTCATTTCTATCATTACTAATAAAATTTGAGCATTGGAACTTTGTTGGACTATATTTAAACACAGATTTTAATAGATAATAATTATGTCAGAAGCTAAAAATATTATCCAACATACAAGTTAAGGTCAAACATGAAAAAGCTTTGAAGATCTTATTTTCTGTATTCAAATTTTACCCAATTTTAAGAAATTTCTATCTAGCTTATTTGAGACTTTGGTGTTGAATAAAATTTTCTTACTTTATAATTACAGACTTGTGATTGTTTAACAATTTATTCCCACTTACAAATCATGCCCAGGAAAGAAAAATAATGCACAAGGGCTTTTAGCAACTAGAAAGTTATTGGATTGCAACCCTTTTGCAAATGTGAATTCCATATTTAACTGTAATCAGCAACCTTTTAAAAGCTTCTTTTGTGCTTCAAACCAGGCTTCCTAGAGCCTGCATCTGTCATAATTGGGTTTTTGAAGTTTGTTTCATTTGCCTTCTGTGTTCAGACTCATAACAGAATACAAGTTTATTAAAAGCAGGAAGAAGGAGCTATCATAATATGCAACATTGTGACGTGGGGAGAAGAGGGGATTGTTTTCCAAAATGTCTAGCAATGTTTATGTTTACTGTTTTCTCTTGTTCATTTCAGCTGCTGGTAGGAATTATCCAGGCTGCCGAGCTGCCTGCCTTAGACATGGGGGGAACATCTGATCCCTATGTGAAAGTCTTCTTGCTGCCTGATAAAAAGAAGAAATTTGAGACAAAAGTCCACCGGAAGACTCTGAATCCTGTTTTCAATGAGCAATTTACTTTCAAGGTATTTTTTATATATAACTGAAAAAGAATGATCTCATCATCACACATATGGATTGACCACATAAATACTCAGGATTTCACAAATAATTCTGTCCAGAATATTTAGAGTAATTTTTTCTTGAAACAAGTAAGGATTCTAGAGTATGTTTAAATTTGGCTGCTGTATGAATTAACTTGGTCATTTCAGAAAGGAGTATCAAACTAGAATACGAAATTCATATCTAAAAAGCAAGGTGCACTTCAAAGATGTCAGTAGGCTTGAACGTTTTGCCCCTCTCTACAAACCAAAGAACCACCACTCGTCTGTCAGTTTGTCGTACTGTGGTAGCTTGTGAGTTGCTGTGATTCTGAAAGCTATGCCACCAGTATTTTAAATACCAGCAGGGTC